GCGTGAGCTCCCGCTCTGCAGCAATTGTCGAATCTATAGAACACATAACAGGCTGCACGCACCTTTTTCGAATTGGAGGCTGGACAGGAGCGCATTCCTGCTGTTCTCGTCGCCGGCCCACGGGCGGTTGCGGATGAGTTTGCGGCACACGCTGCAATAGCGGTCTTTGAGGTCCTGTAGACGGTCTGAGATGAATCGAACTGTATTGATTGAATTTATGCTTGCACCGACCTCCATGGAACGCGCGACGCCGCCAGGGAACTCATACCGGTCGTGGATGACATACCACCGGGTGTCGTACTCGGCCACAATGTTCATGAGATAATCCGTCTCCTCCTTTGACCACTCGGGGTCTATTTATTCTCGTCAGCAGACGTAGTATTCAATCGCATCCGCAATGCACACATACCCACCAAAAAAGACGTGTATTCATCCTCCGAGTAGGTGTATATCGGCCGCTGAACGTTGTATTTCGCAAACGAATACTCTGCGTCGATATTCGTACACGATATAAAATAGCTAGGAGGGTATGTAGCGCACCAGCGTCCGGGTCGGCAGAAGCCTTTGTCCAGTGGTATAACTGCAGCGAGTCGGTTCGTGCGCCGTTCTTGAACGCGCGCCATTGCCTGCGCACACGGGTTGACAACCAGAACCAGATTGATTTCCTTTTGCGCGACGCACCATTTGATCTTCGAGCCTGCACCGAGATTGGGCTTCTGTTTGAGACGCGGCTTCGCGAGCTGCGCGACAAGGGTGGTGGAAGAGGGCCCGATGAGGGAGAAGAGCTCGCGCGAGATGCCGTCGGGTTTGCGTACGGATTGGACGGAGAGTTTCCTTGGTGCGGCTGCGGGGGTGGCTGCGGAGGGCAGGTCGAGAATTGCGCGCACTTCAGAGGAGCTGGCCATTGCGAGAAAGGCACAAACCCTTGAATAGAACCCAAAGAGAAACTCGATGTAATAGCGAAAGCAAAGGCGGATCGGGAATTGCCGAATGATCGCGAGTGTCAATCGTGTCGATCCTTCCTGGGGTTCTTGCCGGACTGGTATGTCGAGCGCGAAGATACTGGCTGGAAATGCAGACTTCGGACTTCAAGTGAGCGACGCGGAGCGATACAATTTTATGAATTGATACAAATGATTTACTGGTCTCCGAGTTCAAACATTAAATTACTGCGAAGGTACCGTAAATAAACGAGCACTAAGGCCCTTTCCTCGCTTCGACTCTACTTGCCACTGAGGAACAGCCAGTACAGCTTCGCGGACTTTTCTGGTACGGTCGCCTTGAGGTGTAGGCGGTAATTGGTTGCTCGGGATGGGATGTGTCTGTGATTGCTGTGCGTCCCCCCGCACCCAATCGTACATAAATGCCTCTTTGTGAGGAACGGGCGATGGGCCTTCTTCGTCCATGGGTGTCACAACCGTCTCGTCGCTGCCAGATGTTGATTCGGAGCCAATGAGAAGCGCATCTGGGTCACTTCCGTCGTCAGATTCGGAAATAAGCGTTTCCGGGTAACAGCTCAGAAAAAAGTCTTCAGGGATAACTCCGGGGGACAATGCATTGTCAGGGCCCCGAAGATTCGGTGCCATCTCTCTGACCTTGAGACAATGAACGCTCGTATTTTCGGTCGTGCATCGAAAGCGACGAAGAATGGGTTGGCCGACGACGTGACGCGGGGAAAGTCGGTGTACGGAGAGCTGAACCGCCGCGGAGCCTCTCCTGGCTGCAGGATGAAGAAATCGACATTAGTGCGAAGAGGAACAAATGTGTACTCGTATTCCGTGGCCGAGAATTCCTGGGACATTGTTAGGCGGCGCATCAAGGAAACAGAGATGGTTCACAGTTAAGAATGATTTTCGTTCAGAAATAGGCACGGTGAAATTGTGCACTTGCAATGCATCCATGGCGGCCAATGTCTCTTCCGTCGGAACCAACGCCCAATTGCCAGCGCCACTGCGGAAAGGAATCTCCATTGATTTCCGAACTGAAGGAACAGTCAATAGTAGCCGCAACGTAAAAGGGTCGGCGCACTGTGAACTATACTACGCTCATGAGTTAGATCCATCGTGTATATCTCTAAACCCCACAAGTACTCTATATCACGATGCTAGACCAGTCAGTCAGTTTGAAGGTCTCAAGGAAGGGTACCGACTCACGAGATAGGCCTTATCTTTGGGAAATAGAAATTTAGTCGTCAATGGCGCGTCGATATCTTCAAAGCAGGTGGCAAGAGCGTCAAGGGGAACTGCAGTGCATTCGGATCTGGCCATGGGTTGTCCCCTGTCCGGACCAGGAAACATCGTCAAGGGTCAGCCACTATCCTGTGTGTTTCGTAATTCAAGCAGCAATAGAGCCCAAGACAAACTCGATGTATTAGCAAAAGAAAAGGCGGATCGGGAATTGCCGAATGATCGCCAATAACGTCGTCAGTTACTTGATGTGGAAATATCTGCTGTAATCCCACCAGCTGAATTGCAGACTTCAGGCCTTGAGGCTTCGAGTGCACAACACGAACCGATACAATTTTATGAATTGGTACAAATGATTTGCTTCCGACATCTGAACATTATTAAATAATTTAAATCACCGTTGGCGAAGGTAGTGTAAATAAACGGGCAGTAAGGCCCTTTCCTCGCTTCGACTCTATCTGCCACTGAGGAACAGCCCGGACAGCTCTGGGAAGATTCTTGGTTCGGTCTCCTGGAGGTGTCGGCGGGAAACGGTTACTCGAGATGGCATGTTCCTGCGGTGGCTTTGCGTTCCGTTTCACCCAATGGTACACAAATGCTTTCTTGTGAGGAACGGGTGACGGTCCGTCTTCGTCCATGGGTGTTATAACTGTCTCGTCACTGCCAGATTTTGACTCGGGGCCAATGAGAAGCGCGTCGGGTTCGCTTTCGTCGTCAGATTCGGAAAAGAGCGTTTCCGGGTAGCAGCTTAGCAGGAAATCTTCAGGGAGAACGTCGGGAATCCAATGGATCATCACGTCAAGGAAAGCGTTGCGCCACGTCGTAGAGTCTGAGACATGGGTTCCTTGTATCTTCAGTTGCGAGTCGAAAGCGACGAAGAATGGGTTGGCTGACGACGACATGAGGGGAAAGTCGGTGTACGGAGCGCTAAACCGCCGCGGAGCCTCTCCCGGCTGCAGGATGAAGAAATCAACATCGGTGTGGATGGGAACAAATATGTACTGGTATTCGGGGGCCGAGAATTCCTGCGGCATTGTCAGGTGGCGCGTCAAGGGGTCAATGAGGCAGATAAGGCTCACGGTGAGGAATGATTTTCGTTGAGAAACGGGCACAGTGTAGTTGTGACTTGCAACTCACTCATGGCGACCAGTGTCTCCTCTGTCGGAACCAACGTCCAACGGCTGCCACCACTGGGCGAAGGGCCCATTGATTTTCTAACTGGAGAGATGGTGAATGGTAGCCACAAGATCAAAAGGGCCGGCGCACTATGGAGTATACTGCGTTCATGAGTTGGATCCATCGTGTATATCTCCAATCCCCACAAGTACTCCAAGTCACGGTGCTAGAAGAGTCAGTTTGAGGGTTTCAAGGAAGAGTATCAATTCACTAGATGGGCCGTATCTTTGGCAAACAGAAATTTAGTCGTCAATGGCGCGTCGATATCTTCAATACAGGTGGCAATAGCGCTAAGGGGAACTGTGGTGGTCATAGTGCTGAGTCGAGACTCGAGAGTCGCGAGTCACCTCAGGCTACCCCAACTTGGGCCCTCTTAGGGGTGATAGTGGCCTAGAGTTAACTACCCTAAAGGGGGGCCCACCTAGTAGGCCTTCCCATCTGGGATGGGACATCCCACTTTTAGTGTCCCATCATGGGATATCCCATGGCCCATTTCCAATGGGATGTCCCATGGCCCGCCGCAGGCGGCCGAAATTTTTTTGGGACATCCCACTGGCCCATGCGAGGTGAATGGACCCCTGGCACCACCCCAGCTGAAAACACATTTTCTGGGCCCATTTCTGCACCGATTTGGCTGATTCCAGCTGATTCTGGAAGCCTTTGACCCAGGCTTCCTTGAGTACACATGTTGAGTGTGTTTGACCATATTCACATTTGCCGCATCCAAAAGCTCGCGACCAGCTCGCACCAGGCTGGGCTACTGTGCAACCGGCTTGACCTCTATATTTATGTGCAGCTGCACCTGCCACCACTTCTACATCCTTGTGACTGCTCATCCACCCACCAAATACTGTAGTATTTCGTTCAATTCGTATGGTCACATGTCACACGACCCAAAATCTACGAAATTTTTCGTAAGTCACAGGGTCACAGAGTCGATTTTGGCCTTAACCGAGGATGCCGAGCTTTGCCGAGCGTTGCCGGCGGATCAAATTCCCAAAAGGGGACCGGCTACGAAAGGTCCAGTTCGTTTTCAAAGTCACACCCCAAATGGCCTTACGAATTGAACGTAATACTACAGTACTCACAATTGAAACTACGCTAGGAAAAATTTTGCAACAAAAAAAGTGGGTGTGACACGTGACCACAAATTGAATGAAGTAGTACAGTATGCAGCAAGCCCCAGTACAGACATTTTATAACCATAACTCATACATACAGTGCAGAAACCTGACTGTAATACTGGATTATACCTACAGTTCACTCCCACTACTCTTACTCCAGACCCTTCAAATTCCGGCAACGTTCTATTACCATCCACCTTACTGGAGTATATGCTTTTCATTCCACATTGCTTCTTGTGGCAGGAAGGTGTAATGGTTATACCGAGTTCTGTTAAAACAGGCTTGTCCGAGCACTTGGGTTTGAATCCCAGTCTGTCTTCGCAAAGTACAAAATGAGGAGTTTTAATTTTTATGGGACGTCCCTATTCTGGACGTTAGTTAATATCTACTTTCAGTGCCAAGACTTGACGTTGGCCCGACTTGGTCTTTTGGAATACAATTAAGTACTTACAAGTCTTAGTTAGAAATCACCAGCGGTACCCTCTAGGAGCAATAGATTTTATACCATAACATGGGCTCTATGGGCAAATGGTTAAGCCCTCGTTGTAAGTTTGCAACCTCCTTGAGCACTTTGTGACGAGAGTGCTGGTTCGAATCCAGCTAGGGCCACTTTACTCTTCCTTGATATTTTTGTCGTCGTCTTCATTCTGTCTTCCTTCTGACTTCATGTTTTCGGCTCGACTTGCCCTTTTTTATCTTGCTTTACGCAGGTTGTACTGTAGAGCAGCGAAGAAATGTACGTCGCCTTGAAAAAAAAAACTCGTTCTCTGAAAGTGTATTTAGCACTTAGACTGTTGAAAGGAAGCGGGTGGGACATCCCACTTACTTTATTGACTGGGATGGGACGTCCCACCTTACTTTATTTACACGGATGGGACGTCCCACTCACTTCATTTCAATGGTGGGACGTCCCACTCACTTCATTTCAACGGTGGGACGTCCCACCTATTTTTACTTACATCAGTGGGACGTCCCACTCACTTCATTTCAATGGTGGGACGTCCCACTCACTTCGTTTCAACGGTGGGACGTCCCACCTATTTGTCTATCCCGGTGGGATGTCCCACCTTTTTTACAAACAACAGTGGGACGTCCCACGTATCTTATTTCTCTCGCTGTGGGACGTCCCACTTATTTTATCTACAATGGTGGGACGTCCCACCTTTTTATATACAACGGTGGGACGTCCCACGTATTTTATTTACAGCAATGGGATGTCCCACCTTTTTTTCATAAAGACTTCAATGCCAGATTCGCTCAGCGCCTGAGTGGGCGTCTAAAATTCGATCTAATACAAATTGTACCAAGAATGGGGCATAAGTGGGGTATCATAACATGAACCATAAGTGGGTATCATAACATGAATGTTCGTATGTATGTGAATCAAAGTGCAACGAAATCCGCCCTACCGACAGCCTCGTGTTCGGTGTCCGTCGTCAATCTTCCAAATTGAACTCCAAAATGTTCCTCTCGAAGCGCTCGCGGTCATCCGGGGTGGCAAAGGCGGGGACACGGTCTTTCTGCAGCTGCAGCCATTCGCTGGTGGCTGGATTAAAGACGTAGGTGTACCTGTGTGCCCGGGCGCGCAAATTGGGATCGGTAGGCAGGAGATCTGTGGCGTAAAAAACACGCCCCTCTAAAAATGCCTTGCCCAAATGTGAATGTGGTATTTGCGTCCGGAGCCTGATCAATGGAGTCGTTGAGCTTGCCTCGCGAGGGCGCTTGGTTTCCCTATCTGACGCCTCCGCCTCAGGCGTCTCGAGCTGCCGCTTCCGTTTGCCACCCGTCCGAGCTGCCAACGCTTCCGCCCGGTCGGCCTCCTTCGCCAAGTCGAGATGCGGATTACGCTGGTAAGGCCGCGAGTGGTGCTGGTCGAGGTCCCGCCGCGCGCCGTTGTTCGAGGCCTGGTGACCCCGCACTGCGTCTGCAGGCGCTGAGGACTTGGATCGCCGGTCGCTGCCACCATGATGTTCGTGTGCGTTCGAAGGGGCCTTTTGGCGGAATTCGGGCACCGGCGACGCTGGTCTTGGCGGCGGACGCGAGGTAGCCCGCCCGTAGTCGTATTGAGTCGACGGCCCAGCCTGTGCGCGGAATTCAGGCAGCGGCGACACTGGTCTTGGCGGCGGACGCCAGCTGGCCCGCCGGTAGTCGTATTCGTATTGGGTCGGCCCAGCCTGTGGGCGGAATTCGGGTTGCGGCGATAGCGTTCTCGTCGGCTGACGTGAAGTCCCCCGCCTCTCGTATGAACGCGAGGCCTCCGCGTGTGGTGGTGAGCGCGGCAGCGCATCACGCTCACGGCCGTACGGGTAGCCGAAGTCCCTGCCCATGGGGTAGCCGACGGGGCCGTCGTAGTCCTGGCGGTAATCGATGTACTGATCGTCGCGGTGCAGTCGAGGCGGTTCTGGGTATTCATAGGCAGACCGTCCCGCGGGAGGAAGGCGAGCATTGTCCTGGTCGTAGTACCGGTCGTGGTACTGGTGCTGCGCTGGTGGCCGCGGTTCGTCGTTCCTGTCGTGTACTGCTGCCACCCTGCCCTTCTTCTTCTTCATCTCCTTCGCCACCTTCTTTGCTTCCTTCTTGACCTCGTCGTGATACCCGTCGCTCGATTTCACCCACACCAACGCCATCCCGTCTTCGTCGACGACCACCGGAACATCGCCTTGGTCTTCCAGGGGGAGTAACATTTCCTCTATAAAAGAGGGGGGAGTCAGCAGAGGACCACTTATCCAAGAGCAACGAACCTGAGTCCCAAGGCACGACTTGCAACACGTCGGTGTTGTCTTGCGCCGCCGAAGTGTTCGCATTTACGAGAGCCTCCATAAACTTCGCAAAAGTCGCCGTCTTGATCTTCTTTAATTTAAACGCATTCGTGCCAATAATCTGGTTGTCGACTCGCAAGGCCGTTGGGTAGTTGATGATGCGGCATTGGCATTCCCGCGCGATGTCGATGAACTTCGGCCCCCACTTCATCAGGAAGTTTCGCTTGTCGACGTCCCCTTGAGGGATCTTGGCCTTCCTACAGAATTCCCCTACCGTCGTGTGAGTTATCACTGAGCCGTCAGGTCAATTTGTACCAACATAGTTGTCCGCCCACGATTGCTGTAAACTGTCTTCGATAAACGTCGCGGCCTTTTTCGTGTGCATGAGGATCCAAGTTTTGCACGGGCATCGAGTGCGCAGCGAGACCACGTTTCCTCATGGCGATCGAACTAGTACACCATTAGCACGTTTCGAATTGGGAAGTTTTATTAAAAAAACGTCAACGCACCCGAAAGTGTGTTCCTGATCCTTAATAGCCTGATTCAAGTTGACCATTTCAGACTTTCGCATTTCTTTGAAGTCGTCTCCAGCACCGAAAAGAAAACTCCCTTGGCCGTCGGGGTCAATCACGTAGCCCCACATGTGAACGTCGTATGTAGCCAGGAGCTGCGTGGCCTGCAAGAATCGATGAGCATCGTGGTCAGTAAAATGCGCTGCAAAACCCACAAGCCTCGTTACAGGTTTCACCTCCGCTTGAAGCCGTCTCTTCAGTTTGCCGCTTTCCCGAATCCCGGCCACCGCCTGTACCTTCACGTTCTTGTTCCAGTCGCGCAGCCACGGCAAACGCTCGAAGACGGCGTCCGAGTCCTTGAGCATCTCCTCCGGGAAATCGGGGCCGACCTTGCACTTGGCAACAAAGGCCGCACGAGATTGCTTCGTAAAGTCGGCCTCTCTCTCTGAAATACTGGGTCAGTTCTGGCACAACGGCGACCTAAATAACTTACGTTCTTTCGGTGTCTGCTCCGCAAACCACCGTTGCCACATGTTCCAAGCACTCGTCTCGCGTGGCGTCTTCATCGCGGTGGTGCCAAGCTCGCGATGTAGACTCGCGCTGGACTTGCCGCAGCTTTTGGCGAGCTCGTCGACCTGGGCGGTAAAATTGTCGTAGATCTCCGAAAGTTTTTCCTTGACCGCAGTTGGAATGGGTCCCCCCTTGTGCCGCTCGTCTTCGTCGTCCACCACGATGGAGCCCGACTCTGACTCTGTATTGTCGGTGCCAGCCGCCGCGGCAACCTTCCTCTTGGTGCGTTTTGGCTTCGAAGTCGCAGCTCTCTGCTTCGAAGTCCCCGGGGCCGCCTTCGCGCTCTTCGACCTGCGACGCCCCTTGCCTGCGGCTCGGGGTTGGTCCTCGTCCTCCATGCCGTCCCGCTCGACTTCGTCGTCAAAATCCCGCTCATCGTCCTCATCGTCGTCTTCCGGCGAGGGTATCAACTTCAACCCGCGCGCCAAGTTCCAGCTGTTCTGCTTCTGAAGTTTGGCCTGTGCATCGCCGTAGTCATCGCTCGAGTGGTCGGCCTCTGACTCCACGTCCGCGTCGTCGTCCGACCCCGAACTTCCTCGTGGCTGCAGGCGTCCGCGGGCTACAGTCGAAGCCAAGCGCGTGCGCCGACCAAGAGGTGTCGGCACATCCTCCTCGGGTGGAGGCGACGACGGTGGCAACTTGCCTATCGGAGAGGATTTTGGGGACAACATCCGCCCACGCGGGGAAACAGATTGGCGAACGTGCGAGCGGGTGGGGGGCTCGACGTCCGAGTCGCGGTTGGACTTCTCGTCTGGGTCAACATACCCCCCCCGATCATAGTAATCGTCGAAAAGGGGGGTGAAAGACGTCTGGTCGACGCCGCGTACAGGCGGCCTCGCGCGTGTCGTGTTCCTTCCTCGAATTGACAAATTGAAGGTGTCGTCGCCGAGATCACATATCGCATTCGTTTGCTGTTCACAAGCTAAATGCCACTGACTTCGTAGATCAAGCACCGGGCTTACCGTCACCACACGATCCGCTGCGGCAGCAACTTGTACGACCTTAGAGACCGGCTCCTGCACACATAGAGTTACTTAGCTGGGCACTCCATCGTCGCCACGAAAAGACTCACTTGGCCGCCGGTCTCACTCTCGTGTTCTTCGATCTCGTCAGCCGCGGTCTCGGTCTGTCGAGTCGCTTGCACAGTTTCCTCCTCGTTGTGGTCTCCCTTGGGCGCACCACCCGCGTTCTCGCTCTCGCTCTGCCGATAGAATTAGTTGGTCATCTAGCGACCAGTGAAAAACTTGATCAACTCGCCTGGGCAGTTTCTTCAGGGTTTTCGACCGCGGCCGTATCAGCCGTATTCTCATTCTCATCCTGTCCATAGAATTCGTAAGGGCATAACGAAACATGTATGTCGCCAGACTTACCACACGATCAGCATCCTGGGGCTCTGTCGCAATCGATTTCTTGCGCCCGCGTCGTACAGGTTTAATCTCAAGCGCCCAAATATCAATTCGCGCTGTGTAACATGGAGGAGTGATTGGTACCTTTTCATTTTTCGTCGCCACTTTTGCGGTCGCTTTTGAGGTTTTTGAGGTTTTCGCTTTTGAGGGTTTTGCTTGGGGAGCCGCCGCCGCCGTCGCAGATCGAGTTTGACGCTCCGACGCGCGAGTTTGCGGAGCCATAGTCGTCAAGAATTCCGCACAGTGGAAGAGTTGGGTGAAATATTGAATACTGGGTGTTGAGGGAGCTTAGGGGCTCAACCGCGAAAGAAAAGAAGAAGTTCAAAAAACACTACGAATACTTGTCAATAATTGGACGGAGG